TTAAGGTCATTGTCTCACCTGTACAGATTCTTCACTTCACTGTGTCAGAAAATGTCTTCAAGTCAACTGGTTTGCTGGACCCTCATCTAGTTGGACAGGAGTCGCCGGCCATCATGGGTTTCTCCCAGTCAGGACAGGAACATTAGAATACACCTAATGATACAAAATAATGATTAGACTAAGTGTGGTACAAAGAACAAAATTATAAAATGTCACAATTGAAATAATCAATTTGCTTCAATGGATCAATTATAGGTGTTACTAGAGTGTGTTGTGCCTCTGAGTATTAACACATTAGAGGAAAAAGACATGTAAGTAGAGTAAAGTATTGTCTCACCTAGCTGTACAAACTCTTCACTGTGTTTTCAAGTCATCTGGTTTGGACAGGAGCCACCAGTCATCACAGGTTTCTCTCGGTCAAGACAGGAAAGTCTGAACACAACTATATAAATGATATGAATCACAAAATGTAACTTGTGGTGCAAAGAGCATCTCCTAAGGCAATATTGAATGACCGTATTTGGTGACCGTAATGATAAAATCACACAATTGAAATAGTCCACTGCTTGAATGGATCTAGAATGTTAGGTGCATCCAGGGAACGGACAAACCATCCACTATATGTACCCTTGTAGCCACAGATTTCACCAAGGCTTTTGATAGAGTCCACCACCACACTGTTATCACTAAACTGTTAAACATGGGTTTGCGACCTGAGTTAGTTCCATGGCTGGCCAACTTTATCTCCGACCGGAAACAGCGTGTGCGCTACCGCGGATCTTTTTCTGAGTGGGAGTATCTGTCATGTGGAGTTGCACAGGGCACTCTTCTAGGTCCCGTATTATTCCTGGTACTCATAGATGACGCCGCTTCCGACACTGTGACTCCTGTGTGGAAATATGTCGACGACATGAACATGCTACAAACAAGACGACTTCAGCAACCTTCTACACTTCAGTCAGACTTAGACCAGTTATACCAATGGTCAAACCGTAACCATATGCTCCTGAATGGGTCGAAATGCCTTGCCATGCACATCACCTTCTGCAGGAAGCTACCACCTCTGCCACCTTTGCAAATCAACAACACACCACTGAATGTAGCGACGAGTCTTAAAATCCTAGGTCTGCACATTCAGAATAACTTGCACTGGGACTCCCAAGTCAAGCAGATGGTAGGAAGAGCTTCAAAGAAACTGTTTCTCCTTAAAAGACTGAGAAGATGCAACCTATCCCACAAAGACCTGATTTCAATCTACACTGGATATATCAGGCCCATACTGGAATACGCTGTCCCGGTATGGTCATCTGGCCTCACTAAAGCTCAAATAGTGAAGCTTGAACGCGTCCAGAAACGTGCCTGCAGGATCGTGCTTGGTAACGACTACACCGGTTATGCGAACGCCCTTCAGCACCTTGGACTGACATCACTGGTGGACAGAAGGGAGCAGTTGTGCCTGAAGTTTGCGCGGACGCTGATGGAGTCTACATTCAGAGACTGGCTCCCGAGGTCGAGGGGGGAAATATCTGGTCGAAACACTCGCAACAAGCAGAAACTGAACACACCTCTCTGTCGGACCAACAGACTTAAAAACTCTCCTATCCCATACCTCGTAAACCTGCTCAACAAGGGACAGTGAACTCTGAACTGTACTCTGAACAAACTGTCTGAATTTCGAATCTAAAGTTTACCCTGCACCTATCTTGTTGTCAATCTACGCCTAACTACGAGTTTTTAATTGATCTTTTTATCTTTTATATTTTTATAGAAATTAAGAATTTACTTTTAAAACTGTAAATACCCACAGCTTGTGTATAATAATATAAAACGAGCTCAATGGTTTGTAAATACCAACGCAATTCAGACTTTTGTCTGCCATGTTTGTATTGAAAATAAAGTTTCAAAGTTCAAAAGTTTCAAAGATGTATCACTAAGAGTATATTGTGCCTCTTGAGTTTCAACACTATCACATCAGAAAAACATAACATGCAAGTTGTAAAGCATTTTCTCACCTTACAAACTCTTCACTTCACCATCTCTTCAAGTCAACCAGTTAGCTGAGCCCTCGCCTTGTTTGTACAGGGTTCTCTCAGTCAAGACAGGAACATCTGAACACACCTAATGATATGAATTTCAAGAATTACTAGACTAACCGTAGTACAAAGCACATTTCCAGGCGATACTGAATGAGCAGCAGAATAAAATCGCACAATTGATCTATCCATTTGCTTGTTCAATGAAATTGGATCTAGAATGTTAGATGTGTTAATAGAGAATGTTGTCCCTCTGAGTTTTAACACATGTACGTTGTAAAGCACTGCCTCACCTGTACAAACTCTTCAGTTCACTGTGTCTTCAAGTCATCCAGTCTGGTCTGGACAGAAGTTGCCCATCATCACAGGTTTCTCCCAGTCAAGGTAGGAACATCAGGACACACCTATTAGTAACATAATAAGCGAACAAGTAAAGATGATTATCATATTGGTAAACACTTTCACGTGACATATTACTTTGCCTGGTTCTAGAAATGTTGAGAGGTGCACATATTTCATGCACTTAATGTGACATGCCAAGTCAATATTCAATAAAATCACATTAACACATTGTAACTGTTACACTAAGGCTAGTCACTCACTCAAATAAACTAAGACACTGTTATACTAAGGCTAGTCATTCATTCAAATAAACTAAGTCACATCATTACATTCTGACATTTTTCACAATATTCTGACCATCATCTGAAGAAAAAACAACAGTTGCTGCTATAACTACCCTAGATAGAGACACACACTTTTTCTACTTCCGATTATGCCCATCCGCGGATACATCGGCAATATTAAACTGGCATGTTGGGAGAATGTTGTGTAAAGTGCCTTTCCCAAAGGCACAATTTTGGAGCATGTAGGTGGAATGGAACCCAGGACCCATGAGTTCTGCGCCAAATGCCCTACCATTACGCCATGCACACTGACTACCCAGTTATTGGGACCACGAGACTCAACTAAGACAAGAGACACATATAAGACCCATATAGAAAATAACTTTTCAGCTTCCACAGTAAAACAATCCATGAAAAGAAGACCACTGACTTTTTTTTACTGCATGGGCATTTCAAAATGTTGGAATGTCCAAAAAATTGTCATAATCATACCTTATTGTTTCTCGAGGACTGAGAAGAAAAAGAGCAGAATATGTTAGTCACTGTGTCCATAGAAAAAAAATCTAATATGATGACCAGAAGACATACAAAATACTAGATACCCAAAGAATAAACTAGGCAGAATAGTCTCAGAAAGCTCAAATGCCAGACTCCTAGAAGAACAATTATAATGACTTTACAGTGCACGGGGCCAAATGATGCCATCTTGTAGGCAATCCATGCCATCCATTTAGCAAATGTTACCAGTTAAAATCATCAAAGAAAAACCTCCAAGTTCTTCTCTGAAGAACACACAAATTTACCTAGAAGAGGAATAACACAAACAGTATGGAATGTTGTAGACACTCGCACCCTCGGTTAGTATTGCGAATATAACGTTACCTTATTTCGCCAAAGAATCCGAATGCACAAAAACACACTTAACCTTTTCACATGAAGATCATACTTAAGAAATTCATTAGAAATACCAAATCGCTAAAAACTACGGAAAATGAAGCTTATTTTAACAGCCTTCAGGCTTTGCAGAAGCCTTCACAATTTTTGGCGGGAAGACCACATGCCGCACATTCCAACAGGTGGTCGCTGAGCCGCGCTTACCACGTGGCGTTAGAACAAAATACTTCTACATCAAAAGCAGTTTTTCCACCAACCTAAACTCACAGCATTTCTCACAGCCACTAGAAATACGATATAAACAAGATACCCTGCTCTAAAAGACGCTACCAAGAAGTTTAAAACGACAGGAAGTGGCAAGGAGGGTGGTTCAACAAATAGCTTAGAAATGGTACAAACCAGCCTAATTAAAGACTAGCCAGCTCCTAAAATTCGAAGACACTACACCTAATCATATAGAGTATAACCAACATACAACGCAATTCTACCAGTTTTTTTACATAAACTTGACGGGAGAGCTTGTTATCTTACCTTAAAACAGTCTTCCCCACACCACGCCGTCCGTCCAACTCATGAGACGCCATTTTGTTGTCTCAAACTTCAAGTAGTTCACCTGGTCACAAAATGGTAATTTTCTCCCTCAAACATCAAACGAACGGCATAAATCCATCGCTGAAACGTCCTGACGAGTCACTAGATGCGTTGGAAGGATAATTTACCAAGGAAAAGTTGAAAATTGGACAAAAAATGCGAGAAAACTGCAACAAGATCGGCACTGCGCCAAGTCTTCCTCCACTTCCGCACACCTGAACGGACCGTACCAAACGTGATTTATACACAGGGGTGCAAGATGGCACTATTAAAACTTACTACTAGTAATTTTTTCCTCTACGCATCGGGAAAAAAGAAAATGAATTGTGTTTTTTTTCCTTTTTTGTGTCAAAACGTACCGTCTATTTCGAAGTATCAGACGCACCAACTTAAAAAAAAAACTTAAGCCTTAGTTTGTAGACTTGGCCATAATGCACTGGCCCAATCAGCCAATTATACATGTAACCTTATATGGGTTAGGACCTTATATAATATATTCGACAGTCTCGTTATTAGTTTGGACATCCTCAGGCTTTATTTCATTATAAACTGAGAAGAAAAGCTTCACTGAACTTATCACTCTAGAATGAACATTAGTGTGCCTAACTTGAGTGTCAAATTCAATCTGGAAAACAGTGGTCCACAACCCCATACTATTAAAGCTTTTATTTTCGACTTTTAATTTTCCTTTTCACGCTTTGTTTATCTGGAAAAAAGGTCAAGATTTAACCAGTTATGTCTCCAGCTTTACTAACATATACTACTTTAGTAACATCACATGGTGTGCAGAAAGCATAGTTCATTCATATGAAAGAAAATCTTAATTAAAGGTTTAAATTGATGAAAAATTTTAAAATCATTTTCTCCACCTTTATGCACATATTAAACATGAATTTACCATCACTTTTCAAAAGTGGAGGTTAAACTCCTGCAATCTAAATATGTTTCATTGAATTTGTACATTGTGTAGTGTACATTAATATTGTAATAACTTAATATCCTAAGAGGAGCAAACTTTCATATTATTGTTATAATTTATTATATGCCTTTCATTTCCTGATCTTAAAATATAATGACTTATGGTAAACATTTCTTATTGTTGTTTACAAGTAAAACTTATATATCGAGACTTAAAGCTTAATGTCAACCATATATTCTGTATAACAGTATAAGTTTGTTTCAAAGTAGGTGCCCATTTTTAACTACTGTATGCACAATATAATATGAATAGTAATACATGGAAGAGTCTGCAACACATTCTTCTTACTACATGCCATAGTCTTTAAAAGCAACCCTAAGTATGTTATGCTTTGCACAATGTGCAACATGCAACTATATGCTACAATACAAGATATATATTAAAGAATGTTTAATCTTAGAGATTGCATGTTACATTCCACTGACATATATTCTGTAAGTAGAATGATCAACTTCATCCATACAATATTAAGTCACATACTTAGCTTTGTTCAATCTTAGTATAATAGTAGGCCATACAAAAGTCCCTGTACTTTTGTTGAGACAATAAAGAATCTCATATGTTACTCACTCTCTACCAAAAGGATTTTATGTAAGAAAATATACACTTAATATCCTGTTACCTAAATTTGACATACATGTAAATATATAGATTAATAAACTTTCTTGGACTCCCAACTTTCTGGATGCAGATTTTTGCAGATCACACTAGGAGGCAGTCAGTCTAACACACGGTGCGGTGACTTGTGGTCCTCAACATCAGTCATTATTGTTCTAGAAGATGGAGAAACAAATTTAATGTCAGGAATCTCCGTGTCATAATATTCTTTATGTTATGACTTAAAGCATTAAGCAACAGAACAACAAGAAATTATGGCCTTACAAGCTTCAAAAATGTTGATGTAGTATTGTTCTAACTGTGCTAGAGAGCACCATAAAAAACGTCACCCTCAAAACACAATGGACAACAAATACTGCGTTATCGATTAAAGATTACTCAGTCATTAGTGTATGTCTATTTGTATCTTGATAAAAGACATATTTGACAACTTTTATACAGATAACAGTGGTGGTCACATTGGTGATGAAGCAATGCCGTGCTCCCATGGGACTAGTAATAAGTGTAGGAGTTATCTACTGAGTAAACATTTAGACACTCATTTGTTGAGTTAAGAGGTTAGACAAACTGACCTGGTGAGTTGTTCACCACTGGTTGGTGCTGGTAGACAGTCGAGCCCGGGGCAGTCTGTACTCCTGTATATGTGAAATAAAAAAGATTAACAAAGTCATCAACATAAATGTATCCAAACATACTGTTCATTGTTCCGATATACTATATACTGATTTCGATCGTCAAGTAAGTTTAGCCCCATCACACATTTAAAACTTTCCCCTAAACACCAACTAACTAAACTGTACGGTTGGATGAAGTTCTTGAGCAGACTTACGAGATTTAGTCCACGTCTTAACTTTCTATTGGAATCCAATCAAATTTGAGTTAAATTTGAGTCAGTCAACTTTGACTCCTGAACACGTCCAGAACACTGCTGTCCTACTCCTGAACACCAGCCAACCACGGCCGAACCTCGAGATCCACACCCGAATATTCCAAACAAGTTGTTTGTCCTACACTCCTGAATTTATGTTTAGGGTCTATTGTTTTGGAGGCCATACTTGGCTATGTGTGAGGAAGGCATTTGGGACTGGCATAGACTGCACCATGACCACATTTAAACAACATTATATTGAGCCACAAACTTTGCATAGACCTGAACCATATTCACCTGATCAATGGGCACATTTGCAACACTTGGCCTCCAGTCGAAGGCTCGGTTGTCATGGCCACCGAAAGTCTGCGGGTTCCCGTGAAGGAAGCTGCTGTTATTGGCCGACCATTCCCGTGAAGGCATGACGTAACCATCCTGACTGGACAGACGAGACCCCCTTTTCAGGTTGTTCTTCTCCGAACCAGAACTGTCCTCGAAGTACGACTGGCGTTTGTTCACCATGCTGGAAAGATAAACTATGATATGAATTTTGCGGTCCCTTTAACACTCAGAGTTCTAACACAATTCTGTTTTTGGCTCTACCATTACAGTTAAATCATTTGCCAGCATAATATAATTATACATTTCTGGAGGTGTAATACACTGCACATTTTCAATGAAGCCAGGGTACATTTTGAATCAAATTTTGTAGGCTGCCTACATGTAGTTAGCTCATCATCCTAGCATTTAATGGCAGGATATATACTTGTCTAACTTATGAATCTACCATAAAATAAAGGATTTTCAAAGATTCACCTGTACAGTGGCATTTCATCATGTATACTATCAGTCTTCTCTGTCATCGGGACCTTTTCATCAGGTGACCAGTAGGCGTTGTCTGAGGTTAGTTGCCTTTGAAGGAAAAGAATTTAAAGAAATCAGCCCTAATTAAATAAATTGTGCAGTTAAGTTTCAATTTTGAACAGTCAGTATCATCATGGAGCTATAATACACATGGTATCATAATAAATGAACTATTGTTTTGCTGAATGTCTCTGTGTTACTGGACTGTTCCTCAAATTTTCTTAAAAGCATAAGAAAAGAAGACAGCGAGGTCAATGCAGTTATGTTGTGTCTGTATGAAGCCTTTTGCCATTTTCAACAGATTGATTTGTCTAAAAATCAAAAACATAAAATTGGAAACGTATGTTTCCATACCTCTCAAAGTCACTGTCTTTCTTCTTCCTTCTGCAGCACAGACAGATGGAAAGAGCGATGATGATGATGAGTAGAAGGCCTCCCACTCCGGCCCCCAGACCGATGACCAATGCCTGTGAGGCGTAGAAATCACATCTCTCTCCCATATAGAAGCCGGTAGGGTCATCATCACACCTATTAGTAAGAGAATTGACAATTTGAAAATGGTTAACTTTATAGTCTAAGGAAATAGCACCTGGTATGGTGGAGGAACCTGTTGTTCGACTTGCAATCGGATCACAATGAAGTGAAGAACTGCAAAATTCTGTCCTTTCTGTTAACTCACGTGAAAAAGTCTGAGCTGGTCTTACCTGCATGTTGGTCCTCCATCGAAATCGCATTCTCCGTTGTTGTAGCAATAATTCTCCTTGCACACACATTGCGCGATCAGCAGGTCACCAAAGGATCTGCTGACATTGCATTTTCCCCATTCTCCACAGGTCGGACTGCACAGGCTATAATTACCCTGAGCTGCAGTTATTTCTGTGTGATACAAAGTACAGGTGGATATTTTTAGCTTCTGATCTGATATTACATTCACTAACAAAATGTATGCTGCTATGAATGATTATATGTACTAAGTGTCATGGTGATTCAAAATCATTTTTTATAATGAAGGGCAGGAAGCAAACTATTTGACAATTTCTATTCTAATCAAGATGATTGGGACATTAGAAATGCATGATGTACATTTGGAATTATGCAATGAAAAAGGAATGAAAAAAATGTCTCTGAGCCTCTGAGCGCATTGCACACTGGTTACTCACTGTTAACTCAGAGCTTGCCAATAATGTTGTACAATGTCATATTCATCTTCCACTTACTATAATAGATTTTATAAACAAGGTGATTCTCACAATGCAGAAACCCCAAAGAATGATATCCCCAAGTAACAGCCTGTGAGGTAGGCTCTGTTTTAGCTCAACGAATCTACCGAAACCAAGGTGTCCAATGTGCATCTGAGGATATGTGATGCCACTGATATCTCTGGGCTTATATTAATGACACACACATCGGCTCCTTACCTTCCACAGTAGCCTCTGTTACCACAAGCGAGACGTTTTTGATGGCGTAGTTCCCGATCTTGATGCTTCCACTTTGAATGATCTTTTCTGCTTCTTCCTTGATCTCATTATCAGATGGTACGTCATCACCTTCAAAGATGGCCAAGTACCTCACAACAATGCTTCCGTTTCTGCAAAACATCAATTACCAGAAAACAACACATTAAAACAGTACTATAGCTTCAGTATAGCTCTTATACTAAATATATAATATACATATATATAATCATCACATTTCAGCCTTGCACTGAAAGATATTATTAGAGCAAAAGATTTATCTTGTCTTGCCTGTTTCCTATAATAATAATATCGAATCAGTTCCTAGATAGATATAATGATTATAGACTAGTTGTAGAGTGAATTTAAGAATATTGTCTGCACTCACCTAAATCTCAAAATAAGGACGTCTTTGAAACCAGGTTGATCTATATACAACTGTGTCAGCTGAAAAAAAAAGGACAAAGAAAGTCCTGCTTTTAGAAAATGATGGAGTTAACCCTGCTTCTACTGAAGTTATCCAAACATTACCATGATGGAAATTTTAAAAAGTTATAATAAAAAACCATCATTCAACAAGTCTAGCTGTGCTACTGAATACATACTGCTATTGCGGACATATCTTTGGAAATCAAATTACAATGTTGTACAATATTGTCATATTCATCTTCTACTTACTATATATAATAGGTTTTGAAGTTGACTATAACTTATAATTGGTACAAAACGAAATGTTTGCATTATTACCTCTTCCTGCCACTGTTCTTTCAGTTCATCTTCTTTGTTCTCAACATCCGCAAAGTCACCATCAAGACTGAGCTCAAAGGCTACAAGCTTTGCAGGCTTGGCTGGTAATTCTAATAAACAAATGCATCGAATCACACACGGTTAGTCACTACAGGCTATCCACAATACCTCTTGTTTGTTATTATTTTAGATGTAATAAAAAACATAGTGCTTTACTTATTATAAGCTATTGCAACATTTCAATCTGTATCAGATTTTTCATAGCCGGTATAACATCTCCATGTAACACACCAACTTCAATTCAAAACAATACAGAGACCTGGCAGTTACTCTGTGCAGTGCATTTCAGTTATTTTTAAGTAAAATTTGCTAAATGTTGAAATATGATGAACAATGCATTTTAAGTACTCAACATCTACATATGACTGGGAAGTATCATGATTATGGATTCAATACTATATTGCTTTCCCTCATATTTCTTCTGCCATTTCGTTAAATGAATTCAACTTCATTGGAATATCCTATCAGCCAGAAGACAGATCTAATCCCCCCTCACCTGCAACCACTGATACCTGTCACACAGGAAGAGCTAAGGGTCATGCGTACAGCTTCGGAATTCCTCTTATGCACCTCCACTTACCTCATTGTCAAACCAGGAGATACAAGACATCTTACCTTATATATGTGTCACAATTGCAGAACCAACTGCCCCAGCCAGTGAAAGTTCAAGCTTGCAGCATCAGTGTGTTAAGAGCATGTGCAATAAACTCACCTGTTCACACAGCAGAAGCATCAGTCCAGCCGGTAGAAGAAAGATAGCTACCAGTAAATACTGTTACAGTACTATGACCAGTTTGTAACAAATCTTATAATAAGAAAGCTGAAATGGTAGTCATATGACCGGAAGCAAAGGCCTCTCCAAAGTGATGACCCACAAGGAACAGTGGAAGGGGAATAGAAAATGAGGCAGAGAAGAAATGGGATGATAACATGAAAAACATTGTCAAGTTATTTGGGATGTTCTTTTTAGGCATGGTTGAGGTTTGAACAGTCCATTTCTAACAAACAAGCGTCTGCATTTCTAGTAGATACAAATTGACTTCTGATCCAGGCTACAAGTTGGGATGCGCCACTGGTGAATTGACGTCTATGATGGAGGGGTGACCTAAGCAATGGAGAATGAAAAATACAGCACATATACCATATGTGATAAGGCTGGCCAGGACTCACCGGGTTTCTCTGTTGCCTTTGTTGGGAGTGGCTTGGTGTCTGTTGCTGATGCTGTGGTATCTTGACCAGCTGTTGTTGATGCTTGTGTGGAACCTCCATCAGTTGTTAGGGCCTCTGTAGAACCTCCGACATTGGCAGCAACCGTTGTTTCATCTGCGGTTGTAACTATAGCAACCGTTGTATCTTCTGTGGTTGCAGATGCAGCAACCGTTGTATCTTCTGTGGTTGCAGATGCAGCAGCTGTTGTATCTTCTGTGGTTGCAGATGCAACTGCAGCTGTTGTATCTTCTGTGGTTGCAGATGCAGCAGCTGTTGTATCTTCTGTGGTTGCAGATGCAGCTGCAGCTGTTGTATCTTCTGTGGTTGCAGATGCAGCAGCTGTTGTATCTTCTGTGGTTGCAGATGCAGCAGCTGTTGTATCTTCTGTGGTTGCAGCTGCAGTAGCCGTTGTATCTTCTGTGGTTGCAGATGCAGCAGCTGTTGTTTCATCTGTGGTTGCAACTGCAGTTGTATCTTCTGTGCTTGCAGCTGCAGCAGACGTTGTTTCATCTGTGTTTGTAGCTGTTGCAGCCGTTGTTGCTGAATTTGTGGGTGCTAAAGCCGTTGTTACTGAATTTGTGGGTGCTGCAGCCGTTGTTGCTGGGTTTGTAGGTCCTACAGCCGTTGTTGCTGGGTTTGTGGGTCCTGCAGCCGTTGTTGCTGGGTTTGTAGGTACTACAGCCGTTGTTACTGGGTTTGTAGGTCCTGCAGCCGTTGTTGCTGGGTTTGTACCTGCTACAGCCGTTGTTGCTGGGTTTGTGGGTGCTGCAGCCGTTGTTACTGGGTTTGTGGGTCCTGCAGCCGTTGTTGCTGGGTTTGTACCTGCTACAGCCGTTGTTGCTGGGTTTGTAGGTGCTGCAGCCGTTGTTGCTGGGTTTGTGGGTCCTGCAGTCGTTGTTGCTGGGTTTGTAGGTGCTGCAGCTGTTGTTTCAGTTGTTTGAGCTTCGGTTGTAGCTGCAGCAGCTAGTCGAGACGAAACAAAGACACAATGAAACAATTAGATCAGCAAGTTTTTGCAGTTCTGAAGTTCTGCTGCAATACCATGACAATTAGCCGTCAGGTGGCCCGAAATCTAATCACTTTGAGGTCTCATCAAGACCTACACACCTACCAAATATCAAGACAATCCATCAACGCCTTCTTGAGTTATCATGTTTGAGTACACACACACACACACACACACACGAACACACACACACATGAACACAGACACACGAACGCCAACAAAAACATAACCTTCTTGGCGAAGGTAAATATTAATACGACACGAGCATGACTCATAACAGTAAAATGGCTTCGTTCATGACAATGTGTTTGAATCATTCTTTCCTCTCAAATTAACAAACATTCAGCAAAGGAAACACTTATTTAGGGCTGATAGGTCTTACAAAATGTACTTGAAAAAGCATGAATTTGTCCATAAGTCTGAAATCTGGTGTGGAGACACTGCAGTACAGTAGGACGGTTATAATTCATTCAAATAAAATATCAAAAGACCGAATCTGATTATTAATAAGATGCTGTAGAATGGTTTCTTGAAAGGCTCGCCGTTAAAACACCATTTATGGTCAGAATCTAACAGAAAGTGTTTAACTTACTAGATGTAAGTAAAAATGACAGCACGAACATTTCCATACTGGAGGCAAAAACAACTTACCACATAAAACTGCCACAGTCACCAGCAGTACTTGCACACACTTGAACTCCATGGTGGCTTTTCAAATATCTGAAACTGAAGTCTCCTTCGTTCTTCAGGTTGTTATAATGTATCCAAAAGGTGCTCTCTTGTGTTCAGTAGATGTCCGTACAAGAATGGGGAGTTGTCTCCGTATGGACTCCCAGTCCTACAAGGAAACGGAAAGGTGTGTTTAAGTGCCAGACGACGCCCGTTACTTTGTAGGCCAGTAATTAGGGAGTGGTCCGCTTTTGCGCAATAGAGTCAATAGAATACGCAAGTAAAGCTTTGTACGGGACTGTTTCAACATTCAGATATTTCTACCACCAAAAGTACCACTTGTCTTTGTTGACGAAATAAAAAAGAAATCCATTAAGTTGTTACATAGTTAGATTTCCCACTTGCAGATACAGCTTTGGTGTTTGCTGATACTATTTTGGCAACTTAAAACGTTCTTAACAAAAAAATTTCTTCTGACGCATTATCGAACTTTCGAGATGTCTACTCACCTGGTGAGACTGTAGCAGTCCTTTGCCGACCATGACGACATGTTTGAACAGTGCTGAGTAAAAGCACACATGGCTGAAAGACCATTTGTTTACCGTATCACCAGCGCAACTATGTGTATTTACAAATTGGCCTCAGTAGTAATACCTGCTTTTAACAAACATTGTTGTCAAACAAGGAAGTTATCAAGGAAATGTGCAATGCTGATTCATTCTTTCTTTTTCTACATGTTTTATCCCTTTTTCGTACCATACGAGTGAGTCTTTGTAATAAAGGCAGCATATGTATGAAGAACGTTATCAGTAAAAAGTTGCAGACAAAGAGTGATTGCCTCCCTCAGTCTCCCAGCAACACCGTCTGGTACGTGACTTAAGTAAAAACACAAGATTACTGCGTTCCGTCAATCCTTACCCCCTCCCCTTTTATGTACAATGTTCTTTGTAATGGTTTAAACTCAGCATTGTCTTACAGTAATCATATTTTACCCCCCGTGGTTTGAATGAGTGAAAAGGCTCTTCAAAATTTTGATACGCGTCATCGAAGATGAAAATCGAGCAATTAACATTTTGGTCACGATGCCCATTAGAAAACTACTTAACGTTATTGTTTAAAGAATTGGACAGCAAAAAATACTGTAAAGAATATAGTCTCAGATGAATGGAATTCAGATACTAAAGACTTGTCATGTCAAGTGTACCACTGGCAGGCCAGTTATTGCCATTATAACTGAAGGTAAATATCTCAAAACATCTAGACATAAATCAACTGAAATTACAAAGGCCTGGAGCATTATTCAAGTGGTTTCCAGACAGGTAATAAGGCGATGGTATATGGGACAGAACTACCTTCACCTCTGGAGAGAGTTAGTAGCTGAGAGTAAAACACGAGGTAAAGATAGAGATGCCTAGGGAGCAAAAACATGTATTTTTAGAGGTCTCCAATTGACCCTCTTCCCATCTCTCTTGCTTTCTGTCCCTTATCTTTCTCTCTCTCTCTACCTCTCTACCATAACCTGTGTCAGTGTCTTTCTCTCTCAATCTCTCTCTCTCTCTCCCTCTCTCCTGTTAGAACACTACCATCTAACAGGTGGTAGTACATTGTACTTGAACACATTTACAGCTAGAAGACGTAGCACTACACTCCTGCGCTAACAACAGACGATGTGGATCAATAAAGTCCCATTCGATTTTTCAGACTAAACAATAACTTTGGCAGCACAAAATAGTCTCAAAGTTCATAAAGAAGCTAATTTTCATCATTTATTTCAAAGAGAGTCATTCAAAAGACAGGTGTTTTTAAGAACTGTGTAATGTTCGTAGCTATGACGAAACTACAAATTTAGCTCAGTGAATCACACATGAAAGCTAAAAGTTACGGTTTGTTTGAAGTTACGATTGAGCAGGCTTTCCAAGAAGGAAGCTAAGGCGGCCTGAGCCAGTTCGTGTCACCCCGTGCCTTGTACTTTGGTCCGGTCATTGGAGGGACACAACACGTGGCGACATGTGCAAATAAACTGCAAGCTAACGACATGGATATGACCCCACTCACACGGCCTAAATTCCCTGGCGCTTGTAATAATGCCTGGGAAATGACACGACTGCTTGGGTATAGAAGGCCGACACGCCCTAAACATTGACACTTCATAGTCTACGAATTTGCAAACATGAAAACTCAATAACTGTGCGTCATTCGTTCCATAGGTCACAAGAGGTTATCTATAAATGATTCAGAATCATCTTCACATATTGATGATACCTGTTAGATGCTTCAGAAGCAGCTGGAAAGAGTTGAAATTGGCCAAATATATGGATAGCATGCCAGGGGAGTTGGTTTGCTAAAGGAGTGCAGTTGACCGCTTCGGTTATCTGTCTATTTGGCCAATTTCTAGTCTTTCTAGTCGCTTCTGGAGCCTGGTAGAGGCTACCATTTATAGTCTAATTTAATTAAACTTGCCAAAAGACAGTCTGACCCACACGTACTGTTGTCCGTACTGTACACACATGTGGGATAATTTATAACCATCTAGAGTGGCCGTTCCACCGGTCAGCAAATGTTTGCCGACACCTTAGGCATGCACTAAAGCATGATAAGCAAAGTTTCGAACAAACAAAGGGCTTAAACCTCTTCCTTATGGGGGTTCTATTCGTGGAAGCCATATAAGTCCTTTGGATATGGATGTCTCCTTTTTATGTAGATATGTAGATACTGTATAGTTTTTAAATTACGTCTACATACATTTAATCTACATACATTTAATATACATAAAAAAGGTATGGTATAGCTAGTTCTATTGCAACTTACATGTCGTAGTTAGTCTGCTGTGTCCAGGGCATCCCTTTTCTTCCATCCCAATGCCTTTTACTTCCCCAGGTTCTATCAGACTTCAATGAGCAGAAAATCATAGTCCCTGCCAGACTCCTTTGCCGGCTGGATAAATAGTAGAAATCGGCCTAAAAAGAATGTAACTGAACCAAGAGGTTAGCCCATTATAGAGGGTCCAATTTGGCCAGGAAAGCATGGGAAACTGAAAGAGAAACCTGCTAAAATGTCTGGATCTAACATAAATGTACAAGTAGACATTTGGAGGGTAAATCGTTTGTTTCCTAGCTGCCCTTTTCTGTTACAAACCACCTCTCTAACAGGCAGATTGTGACAGAAACAGGCAGCTGGGAAAACGTTATGATTTAGCCTCCCAACATCTGCTTGGAGATTAGATAGAACCATCATGGTTGAGATAGAACGCGTGTACAGGAAAGTCGGCCTTGAAGAGAAGAGTGCACTTCAAGGTTATCAAAATTCCTCAAGATGTTGATAATGAGGAATCCTCAGACATGAATTCTGTCAAACAAAGCGTGAAACCAGGGTAAATTTGGCGTAACGCATCAAAGATGGCGGAGTGACAGTTTATATGTATTATTGTCGGGTTGCTGTTTAGAAATAGGTGCAAAACATTTAAAAAATGGTTAGATTTACAAAAAATCTGCGGTATAGTGTTTAAATTGAGTCATTATTTGTATCTATGTACGTATCTGACAAACAGAATTAACCCTAAGAGGTAGAAAAACGAAAATCAGTTCAACAACAACATATTTTTCAAGTCTCTAAAAACACGAGAATTTCAATAATTTGTCGCTTATTATTTTACTTAAATCCTAAAGAAAATAAAACAATCAGTTTTGGGCGTGTTAACCCGTGGAAAAAGTCATAAAATGAAAAATTCCGTAAAAACTTGAAACCCCCTTACGAGTTTCCGAGGTTTGGCCATTCCCAAATAGCCCAAATCCGCGAGTGGGCTAAATCTCTTAACTGTTACAGGTGGTCCCGATTTCGCACTTCCGGGTTTGACAGGCTGAAATTAGGGTCTCTTGGGGGTTACCAATTTTACTTGATTGAAACACAAATGTTTATTTTTCTAGAAAACGCTAAGTATTTTCAATAAGTTTTCAGCGGTTCTGTCACACGTTTTAAATTGTCTACAAATACCACCGAAAAGAAAAGCCGTACGTTGAATTTTTTGTCGTATTTTTTGGTGAATTCATGGTCTCCGAGTTTGCAGAATGCACAATTTTCTGAGAAACATGCAGCGAAGCCGGGAGTGGCCATTCTATCAGTATAGCAGTTCGTATCGCGGAATATGACAGAAACTGAGCCGTTTTTGCCACATTTCTACACAAAATAGTTCAATTTCATGATATAAACTTTACATTGTCGTATTTGATGGAAGGTTAGGGGATAAGCTGGGTGTCTCCGGCGGACTGAAAGGCCCCGCGCGGCCGGCCGGTTGTTGACGGTAGCCGGCCTGCGAGGCCGCCCGCAGCCGGCGCCCTGTACGGTCATCGCCGCGGCGCCCAGAAAACATGCATTTTGCCGGCAGAAATTGTGAATAAAACTGACCTCATAAGTAGTAACAGTTACCGCGGGGCCAGGGCGAATTCTGCTCTGTCCACTGGCGGCAATAGCCCGTCGAATCCAACCGACCCCGGCCGCCGATGGAGATAGGCGGCCCCGCAGGAGTCCTGTACCGATGGCCGGCTGGATTTTACCCGGCGCTAATGTCGCTGGCGGGCCGAGTAGAAACCGGTCTTGGCCACGGTACTGAATGGCTTTCAAGGTTGCTGAATTCCATACGCGTTTTCTGACAGACTTTCGTTACAAAAAAAGCATTTCCTAAACACCAGTATCGTGCTCTATGGCCGGTTAACTCCCCTGGTCAGTTACAAGCACATTGTTTTTCCCTATCGCCCCTCCAGTCATGAATTCCCCTCAGCCCGGCGACAATCTTTCATCGTCATCCTTTAATTTAGCTAGATTTAGCAAAAGAAATTGATAACCATACCCTTCTAGACAGAAATAAATAAGCTTTACACGTCCACGGCTCGGAAAAACGCACAAAAAGTGCCCTAATTGTGAGTACCGCATCGTTTAAATCAAAACCCGCTCTGAACAGTTAAATCACTGTTAAAGCGGTTGATAACGCCATGGATCAAAAGCGCCCTCCTAGCGGCGAAAAATCATTACTGCAGCACCAGAGCTGCGTAGCCAGCATAATAGGTGCAGTCATGCAAACCGACTGCTAGGCGTCGCTTTTGATCCATGTACTGCACCTACATTATCTGTATCTATACGCTGTAACTTGTAACTTCGCAGTCCGGTATCCGGTCCTGTTGTGGATTGAATTGGCTGTCTTTGAGGCTCCAGACTAGGAATTCTTCGCCGCCAGGCGTGACTTCGAACTCGGCAGGAGTTCTGCACGGCTGCGATTGAACTCCCACCGCGGCAAAACCCACAACAGGTGGCCGACACTCCAACAGGTTGCCGAGCTGAAGACCGGCGGCAAAGGGCTTCTACCGCCCCGAGGACAGCCTGTCCGTTCCACGGTAGACTGGGTACCGGTAGCGTGCCAGTAACTTCGTAAGCCTGAAAGTCACCGAGAAGGTAAAGAGAGGGGACCGTTGCAGTGCCTTGAATACAACTTTTTCATCTATCAGTTGGGAAGTTTTTGGACGGTTCATGAATTTCTCGATCACGACACGTGCACGAACGGGCCGCTACGATCGGCTACGCTACGGACACACGGTAGAAGCGGCGCCGGCATTTGAGCATGACTGAACGGCAAACCACACCGGTCGCCCTTGACTCAAGGATTGAGTAGAGGAGCACACCGTCAGTCAGAAGATACTGATGTTTTAGGAAAGGTTTGTCGTAACGAAAGTCGGTCAGAAAACGGGGTATGACATTCAGCAACCTGGAAAGCCATTCAGTACCGCGGCCTAGACCGGCTTCTATTCGGCCCGCCAGCGACATTAGCGCCGGACAAAATCCAGCCGGCCATCGGTGCACACCCCCATCAAACTCCTTTCAAGCCGTACCCGGAAATTCAAGCCGTACCCGCTCAAAAATTCTGGCCGTACCCGGAAATTCGTGCCGTAACCGCG